CTTCATGAATTATTAATGAGTTTTTTAAGATTCTTTAAATGGTAACTCACACATAGAATTGAAATTTAGCTTATTTGGTTTTGCAGAGAGAAAATTTTTTGAAGTTGCAGTAACATTATGAAAGCTCTGAGATCAACTCCTTTTTTTATATTTTTTTATATCATAGGACAAACCCCCAAAGCCTTTTGACAGACAGCTGCCAATCATCACAGATCATGACCTTGAACACTTACAATCATTGGTTCCAAAGTTCAAAGAATACTTAGAAGAAAGTCCAATCAGCATGAGCATGGGAGAAGACTTCTCAGAAGGGAACTCACTCTCCATGATGTTGAAGCTACAAGAATCACAAATGTTGTCTTCACAAAGCTCTCAAAAACAAATGTCAGCTAGTAAGACATCTATGAGTTTGGATGCACCAACACAAGCTGTTTGGATGGACGGTGGAGGTGTAGTTATTGAGGAATCCAAAGACTCACTTGAAGGTGATGACAAAAGTCAAAGATTAGGTCTGATGAGCAATTCTCAGACATCAACAGATGAATCAGCACCATTAAATTTACACTCCAGTGATGAAAACCCCCCGAAAAGCCATCAGAAGGATAGCGACACAGGGTCAGAGCCAAGCTCGGGTTTAACAGACAGTGACATCATGTTTAAGTCTGCACAAGAGGACTATGTTACAGTTGAAGGTGCTGACTTGGACTCCAAAGATGACAGGTTTTCGCAAAATGAACCAGCTCCTCATGCATCAATCACAGGTGAACACGACTCTAGTCAGACTGTCACACTTACAAGCTCTAGTTCGCAGAGTATTACAGCTAGTACGCAGACGGATTTTAGCTTGGAAGAAAACCTAACATGCAGTGGAGGTGATGAGGATGAGAAAAAGAAAACTGATTCTTTGTACTCAAAAGAAGCTGTCGTTAAACTTGAAGAGAGAATCATGGAACTGGAGGATGAACTTAAATGTAGCACAGAAGAATTGAACACAGTTCTTCAAAAAAATGCTCAACTACAGAATCTTAAGAAAAATTGTACAGAGTTGCTACGAAATGTTGTGGTTGAATTACGTGAGGAGATTAAAATGAGTAAGGAATTGATTTCAAATTGTAAAGGAACAATGAACAAAGAAATACAAGTTGCGTGGAGTAAAATACAGGAATTTGCCGAAGAAGTAATGAATTCGGTTTCAACATTTGAGTCTGAAAGAACTAAACAAGAAATGGATCAAATCATTCAACAACTCAGTGAAAAATATGAAAGTGAGAAAAGTGAATTAGTAAACACTAAAGCACAATTAGATTTGAAAATAAATAATATAGCTATGGAATTACAAAATGTTCAGGAAGAACATAATATCACCAAGGCTAAGAATGCAGAAGAGATTCAAAGGTTAATGGCGGAATTAGATGAGTACAGGGGACAGTGTGAAGAACAGCAGATTATGCTGATGAAGTTGAAAGAAAACAAAGGACAGTCAGAGGAAGAACAGCAGACACGATTCAATGCTATTATGATGAGATTAAAGCGGGAAAAGGATCAAATTGTTGGTCAATTGAATGAAAAAATGAAAGAAATGGAAATGGAAAATAAGAAACAGAAAGTAGAATTAACTGAATTACAGCAAGAAAAGGATTCTGTCATGAAGGACAAAGAGTTGCTAGTTTTCAACTTCCAGGAGAAGGAGAAAGAGTATGCCGCATCAATACATACTCTTGAACAGAAGCTGCTAAAGAATCAAAGCATGACGGAAATGAAAGAGAAAGAATTTGAAATGAAATTAGAGAATGAGAAAGCTGGTGCTTTAATGTTGCTGGACTTGGAGAGGCACATGTGGGAGGCAAAGAAAAGTAAACAAGAAGATACAGAGATGAAAGAAGAAGGGTGAGTGAACTTGCTATTCATTTTTCATTCATTCAGTCATTCAATTTTATAAATATTCCTATGACTCCACAGCCATTTTCCCAGGGGAAAATATTTATCCTTCACGATCAGAATGCACACGGGCCAGGGTAAATTTGATTGGAAGTAACCAAAACATCAAAGGGCTCCAAACATTAGGAGTTGGTTAGGTCCCAGAAACATGAAAATGCCTGTAATTATTATTTTTGTTTACTGCAGTTTTCACAAACATGCAAACTCTGTGTCTCCAAGCTTCAAGCTGAAATTTTTTCCCCTGCTGCATCAAACTGTATCAGTCAATACTTTTCATATTTTTGACTGCCAGCAGCAAAAAAAAAAAATTCCAGAGTTTTTTTTTTTAGGTTTCTTATTTCTTTAGTGCTATTTAGTTCAAATTAGTTCTTCTTATACATGAAGATATAACTAGCTAAAAACTAGTGTGAGCTGCGTCAGTATTTCTAATGAAACAGTAAGGATAAAAAGGTAAATTATACACCATGAAAAGATGCATTACATGTACATGCATACATTACATACATGCATTACTGTTTCATGGGTTAATAGTATTAGAAATATCATTGTCAAAGTTAAACTAAATGAACTATCATTAATTTTGTTTTGTTAGCAGTAGCAAGCTGAGCTATGTTGAGAAATTAGAAGAACTTCAAAAGGTACTGAAGAATGCTTTGTTATAGTCTGACATTGCTTGTTCAAAATAATATGATTCCAAAAGTCTAAATAATTTATCATTACCATGACATTGGCTAACAAAAAAAATGAAATTTTCTCTATAAAACTTTAAACGTTCCTGAAGTTTTTTATACTTTTTTATTTCTTTTGCCTGACACATAATAACAATAGTGTTTTTATGACATAGGGGCATAGCAAGGTCTTGGTCATGAGGGGGGGGGACCATTTTCCACCAATAAATATGCATACATGTTTAATCCATAGAATTTCCTGCCATATTCCAAATAAAGATTCTTAAGGCCTATTTACATGGCACAATTTGCCTTGCGCAACTTGACGTATACAGCAAGATCAGCTCAAAATCGGGTCGTGTAAATGGTCCTACGACAGATGTACGCGGCCTCAAGACTTGTCGTAGCATTTTAAACTTTGGCTTAAAACCCTACGACATGCCGTAGGAAAATGATGTAAATATGACGATTTTGACCGAGATTGATTCCAAAACAAAATGGCGGATTTCCATTAAAACGTCTTTACCGGTAATTAAACACGAAGTGCAAAAATTCTGAATGATCTCATCAAATAACAAGGTAGACATGATTATTTACTGCACTTCTCAACTGTGTATGGTGGCATTTTACAAGAAACATTTGCTGTAATGACGAGTAAATTGCTCGCGTTTTTTTCATGCCACGTGCAACAAGTTGTGCTCTTGTAAATGGTACCAAAATTTACTGTATACGTCAAGTTGCATGTGGCAAATCGTGCCATGTAAATAGGCCTTTACAAGTATTAGTAGAAAGTTCTCTGGACTTTTAAATTTAATTTTTTACTTTATCTTTCTAATTTGTTTTAGTCATTGGTGGAGAAGGATGAACAAATAAAAGCTATGAAGAAACAACTGGTAAAAAGTCATTAAACTTTTCAATCTGTTTTTCAAAGTCAATTAACTTTTCATCTATCCATTATTTCATCCACACAACACTCCTACCATCCATCCATCCATCTATTATAACTATTGCAATCTACCATCGAACTTATTCATTCATCCTCCCATGCATCTTCCCATGCATCCTCCCATCCACTCATTCATCAAGCGTTTATTTCTTGTCTTATGTATGCTTCTTTTTCTTCCAACAGTCACCTGGTGCAAGTGAAACTCAAAAGCCAGAGAAAGTTACCCTGAAAGAGTGAGTATTTTATGCTTTATTCACTGAAGGTCAATTCAGTTGTGTCAGACATGTAGGGAAACACATGGATTATTGACCAATACACCAGAATTCTGCACACCCATGGAGTAAAGGGTGGTGTATAAGTATTGCAAGTGCATCTTACCTCTGGGGTCTTGAGTTTGATTCCTGGACTTTTAGCATCATATTATGTGATCATGAGTAGAGATCTTTTGATTCAAGGGTTTTTCTCCAGCTTTTCTGGTTTTCCTCCCTCTGTAAAACCTAACACACTAAATTCCAATTTGATCTTTGAGCTAGTTGTGTCCTGACTTTGATCAGCATAGAGGTTGTTTCAGGGTATCTATAACATTTGAAATTTGACTTTGAAGTTTCAGGGCACCAATCAGATTGCTCTGTTTTCGTCTGGACCAGCTTGCTGCATGCTATGCACTCTGCTTCATAGCATTATCGTAATCCTGTTTATAAAATAACTGTTATGAATTTCATGTTCTGATTGGTTGGGAGTGTATGCTTTATGAGAGCACAAAGCACGAGTGTGCACTTTCAGTTGAGTCATTCCTATCCAAAATAATGCTTATCATAATTTGTATTTTATAAAAGAAATAAAAAATTCTTTCATGTTCTGCCAACCCCCACTTCCCTCATAAATTTACATAGCATGCGTTCATGTTTTTTTATTTCAATAGATTTATTGTTGTTGTTTATAGCTTTCAGTGTGGTGACCTGATCCTGTTGGTGTTTGACCCAAGATATGAGAATTATCTTGTGTTCACTACTGGAACCACCCTGTTCTTCTTGCATCCTGAGTCAATGAGTCTCTTAGACATTGCCACAAGTGAGTATTACCAAATAAATGAATTGGTAAAGAGAATAAATTAATAGCCAATGTGTGCGAGCACCAATTGCTAGAACAAAGCATGATGGGAAATCAAGTACTTATTCTTTTTCCCCTCCTCTTAAAATCCACCTTACAATTTATCCTTCAAAAATTTCTATGAACTTGTATTTCAACACATGAAATAAGAGTATTTTATTTTTCTGGTTGTTCCTTTGATTTCCCTGTTACATTTTTGCAGTATTTGGCTTCCAGAGTGTTTTGCGAGATTCCTTGCACATTGCCTATTAATTACTGCAGGGGCGGATCCAGGAATTTGTTCAGGGAGGGGTGCAGCGCACATAGTTAACCCAGGGAGGGGTGCACCCCTTAGAATCAAAGGGAAAATAACATTATTTTGTATTGGTTAAATCTTTGAAGTAGGGGCACAAAGTCGAACCAGGGAGGGGTGCACACCCCCTGCACCCCTCCCCTGGATCCGCCACTGTACTGAATGGATGAATGGATGTTTAAGCAAGAGTATGTGAGTGGAATGATTGGATGAGCAAAAAATAAATATTGAAAAATGAACCAATGAAGAAACAAATATTAACAAGTGAATGCATTAGATATAAAGAAAAGTTCTGTTTCATTAATATGTTATTTAGGTATATCATTGCTATTCTATTATGCAGAGTGAATAAATCATTAAATAAAAATGGATAAATGAACAAGAAAGTGTTTGAATGATAAAGTGAATTACTGAATGAAAGAAAAATTGATTTAGGAAGAAAATGGATGGATAGATGGATGGAGGGATGGTTGGATGAATGGATGTAATAGTGAGTGAGTGAGTAAACAAGTGAGAATAAATGAATGGATGGACAGATAGATAAGTGACTGTGTGTGTATGCATGCATCCATAAATGAATGACTGGAGAAACAGATAATTCTTATGTATTTTCAGGTGGCAATAAAAGGCGTGACTGGGTGTTGGCACAGCTGACAGACAAGGAATACTGTCAGGCAAAAAAGGTACTCAATGATTTATTATGTGATTCATGTTAAACCAAGTGTCCTCTCACAATAGACCTTATTTGTGGTTTGACAATGTTTTACCAATTCAGCATGACAAACCTCCAGGCGATTCATTTTCTTTTGTTTTTAGTCTTTGAAAAATTCATAAGTATCCCAAAGTATACCAAAGGAATAACGATGATATCCCAACGAGTTTCAAAACAATAGCTCTTCATTCCTCCAGAGGTTTGTCACGCTGAATTGGGAAAACATTGTCACACCACAAATAAGGTCTATTCACAATTCACACAGTCTGAACATGGGAAACAAAGTCCCTTGTCTTCTCCACATGAATTTGAATTTTACTTCCATAGCCTCAAAATTAAGAGTTTTCCTGAAATTCCATGACTTTTTTTAGACCAGAAAAAAAGTTTTTTCAAGACTCCAAGACTTTCCTTATCTTTTTGTTTTACTGTTCAAACCCTGATGATGTCCTAAGGGTATTTTGAAGTAGAGCTACAATTACTCAGTAGACATGCTTGACTGCTAGAGTGCATATCTTATATCTGTGATAAAGTTAACTAACAAATTCATACGAAGTTTTGTACGTTTACAGTTTACTGAGGTCCAAGCTGAACTTACTTATTAGTTGTGCAAATTTGTGTAATTTCTTACAACATTTTTCACAGATATCTGGTATACACTGTACTGTGGGACATTGCCAAAATACATTTTCTCCTTAAGTCAAAACTCTTTTAAGATACTTGTGAACCAAGGAAATTACTTATTTTATTTCAGGCCCATAATCGCTTTCACGTTCCAGTTGGCACAAAGTTTTACAGAATACAAGCCAAACAGTGGGAAAGATGATGTTGTACCCCACTCTTACAACAGGAAAAGCATTGTACCCTCTTATTCAAGAGGGCTTTATAGCTTTGGCATAACAAATATTCCTTTTTAGACCATACACCATTCCCTTGAGTATCATTGTTGTTTCTTACTGGTCATAATGCAATCATGACATGGTCTGAAATTGAAAACATTATGCCAAGCTGAAAAGCCTTGTCCATCTTGCACTTCATATTTACATTTTTTCTCCTCTATCCATTGAGCCAAGATGTTAGGATCAGTGAAGACTGATCAGTGAAATAGAAGTTGACATGGGAAGCCAGTGATTATAAGTGAACTGAAAAAAGGATGTTGTAACACTGAGTTGTGGACTTTTCATAAATTAGGCGAGAGGAAGTATATGGGGGGAGGGCCAGGTAAGTAATGCTTCTTATCATTAATTATTTCCCCCCTCATTTTGATTGGCTAAGATAAATGCAAATAACTGCCCACAAATAATATTCTGCTCACGCACATTACGATGCAAAGCCATTTTGCTGCAAAATAATAGTATGCTCATGTGCAGCAACATTGCATTTGCATTGCTCACTTGCCACTAATCACAATATTTTTCTTAACCTTGTTCAATAATTGCTTACTATGCTACAAAAAGAAATCTCACAATTATGAATACACTTAATATTTATAATATCAACACATTATTACTGAACAAAACAGTTTTTTAAAATATATTTTTGATTGTTCTTCACATTTGAAATGAGGCTGCCATGGTGCCTGCAAAGCATAATGGGAAGGGCTGGGGATGCTTGCATATAGTGAGATATTGTGTATCAAAAAAAATGTAATATTATATACTTTAATAATACTATTAAAAGCTTTAGATATCAATTGGAAGTCATCCATGTAATCTTTCAGACATTCCCCTTCCATTTGCTTTAGCTTTGATTTTCAGAAACTTTCTCTTTACGACATCTTCATTATTTCCTTTCCTTACTTTCTTCAAGTAGAATTAGATTTTTTCATTACCTCCAAGTATGAGGTCAAAAACTAAACTCTAAAGTACAGCACCAATGCTAGAAATAGGTATTTCACAGCAGTCAGGGCGAAAAACAATGGATGCTCAATAGCCAGACATTATGACCAGACTGAACTGTATCATATCACCCTAGTGCTGTGTGGTTGTTTATCACCTGTATTGTTGTATCATCTGTATCGTTGTATCGCAGTAGTGCTGTGTTGTTGTTTATCGCCTGTATCGTTGTATTGCTGTAGTGCTTTGTCGTTGTTTATCACCTGTATCTTTGTATCGTATCGTCTGTATTGTATCGTTGTATTGATTTGTCGTTGTTTATTGTTGTATCGTTGTATAGCTATAGTTTATCGCCTGTATTGCTGTATGTGTGGCCGTGTGGTGTATATTAGCTGATCCTTTGAGAGATCAGTGGACTACATTGGATTTTGGATTGCTTAGATATGTAGTCCTATGGCATGTTGTGTATCGGTGTATCGCAATACGGGCAACAAAACAGCAAAAGTTGGGTCCTAAAACGTGACAGGTATAGGTTTTGTCCAATAAACAGCCATTATTTTATCAAGAGGTACAAGGAAAATGTTCTCAATGGAAGTATTTTCTAAAGAGTTCAATGGTTTTGGGCTACAACATGACTCTGTAAACCCCCTATATTACTACCAGTATGTTAAATGCTCACTAGTACATCTTTGAAACATGTATGTCCATGAGTATGAGGAAGAACAGCTCTGAGAGCATGTCATGATGGATATCAATGCTGAAACCTGATGAGTTGATCAATTCAAAATGTTAAATCTGCAAGACATATTTTTCTTTTCTTGTCAACTTTAACGTTACTTGTCAAGTATGATTTCATCAAGTCATCATCAGATCCCTCGCTGTCTTGATTGCTGGAAGCAGACTTTCTTTTTATTGCACTTGAAGCCAGGTTTGCCATAAGTGATTTTTTGAATAATTTTGTGTTTTTCTTTTCATTTTCTACTGAACTCTTATCCAAATTTTCATTAATTGTCCTTTTGTCAGCAGTGAGAATAATTTGTGTTTCTGCCACATCTCTCGTTTTGATGATCCTCTTACTTTTCAGAATGTTACACTTTGTCTTCTTTGGGTAGAATGATTTTGCTTTTTCATTGGCTGTGTCATGGCTTTTACTTTGTAATACTCTCTTTGAGTTCGAAAGCCAGTCATCTATTACAGGAGATGCCCATCCTTCTGTCTTGATTGCATTTTCAGAAAAAAACTCTGTGGACTTTAGTAAACAAAAAATAATTTCTTTCAGCTCACCAGTGTAAAGATTTCCCYGCCAAGTGGTTTTCTTTAATTTTCTGTGTCAGCTATGACTAACTTAGAGTACAGATCAAATTGAAATTTAGCATATTAGTTTTTGTGAAGCAAAGGGAAAAAATCCTAAAAAGGCCAACAAACATCTGAGTCAAAATAATGACAGTAACTTACTGTTGGTGAAAATTTCAAATTGGTTGCTGCCGTCAGTCTTGACACTCCTGCCATGGTAACACTTGTCCCAGATAAATTTAGAGAAGTGAGTTTTGAAAAGGTGGTCAGATATCTGACTGACAGGTTGCTGATATCAGGATTGCATGAGAGATCCAGGGTGGACAAAGTAAGTGGACCAGCTCCCATCACGCGTAGAGGTAGAGTAAGACACTTCAGGTCACTATCATTCAGACCATTGTCTTTCAAGCTAAGTTTTAGAAGGCTGTTTGAATGAAAATTTCATTAGTATGAACATACCTCTAAAAGGGGGCCCATCTAGCCTCCCCCCTAACCTTAGAGCTGAGCTACGCAGGTTAGGGGTCCATCTAAAGACCTTGTCTTACAAACATTAAATTCATTGTGCCCACCCTCAGAATTGCAGAATATAATCAATTCCATTATAAAAGCCCCCTTAAATTTTGGCTGAAATACTTGGTGCCCACCCCACCTCCCAAAACAATTATATATAAAATATACACAGCCCCCCCTCCAACCCATATATTATGAATACTTTCTTCAATCATACTCTCATTATTCAATCATTCTCATTTGTATTACTATTACATATAAAAAGTAATTCCAGACCCCTTTTCCCAACACCCCACCCTGCTGGGTGTAAATGGTTAAGTTACAGAAGTTTGGTAGCTCTGAATTACCAGTTCTGGAATCTCCTTACTCTGGGTTGCTATGGATACCAACCTTGTTACCTTGGCAACGTGTGCTAATAACTCRTGATCACTACCGAGTAAGCAGTGGCTCAGGTCCAGTTCAGTTAAACAAGGAAAGCACCGTAAATAATCGACTTCATTCACTTCGAGATATCGATACTTTAAGCTCAGTTTGGATAGTACAACACTTCCATAAGCATCACAGAAAAGCTGTAAATTTTGCTGACATCCTTTTGGGAAACCACCGTTTATCTGAACTCTGTTGAAGAGTTCTTTGCCAACAATTTCAGGGAAGCCACAAAGAGATTCYACAATTGTTATATTCTTAGCTACGAAGTCAAGGCAGATGGAAAACAGCGARGTGGGAGAAGAATTCCCATTTTGGACCTTTAGGGAGCAACTTGCAGCTGTTAAAAGATACAACATTTATGTCAAATAATCGTATTCCACAAATATTTATAAGATATCATTATCAAGCCTCACTAGAACGTGGTTCAATACCTTTAGGTTCGCTGTCAATGAGATGTTTTTTCACGTTTTCTTTCGTCGACAATTCGTAGCCAGGAGGAACTTGAAGTTGGCCGTATTTATCCCTGGTGTAATACAATCCAACTTCATCTTCCCTGGGAAATAAATCACCTAAACGTCTTGAACTAAAAGGCATTTTAAAGGTCGTAAGCTCTTGATACGAAAATAACGGAAGGAAAGGAAACCTTTTCCAAATCGGCCGCCATGTTTTGGTTCATCTTCAATTTTCCCGCCAAAAATGTGCACGTGACAAAAACAACACACAGGAAACCCAACTTTGAGCTATGTTCTAAACTCGTCGCAGAACTACATTTTAAAACAGTGGGAAGATAACATTCTTAAAAAGCATTATTGCAAAAATGTGCTGTTTTAGAAATTAAAAAAAATTAACATTTGAAAATGGTTAATTTTTTAAAAGACGTTTTGAAACTGACTTGGCGCTGGGATTCCTTTGGAACGAGTGCGCCTGGACTTCCTGGACATAACTTGAATGGRAAAAAAATGTTGGAAAGTTAAAGTCAAGTTGAAAAGACGAAGAAATTTGCTGCCTTTTGGACAACGAAAAAATCAAGCCAAGACATCAATAAAACTTAAGGTACGTTCACGAAGCCTTAATTTAAAAGTGGTATTTAAAAATGTATTTGGAAAGGCGTGGGTTTTGGAATTTTTCGGTGCAGCTTTGTCAGGTGTTGTCTTCCTTCGTCTTCATTTTTGCAAAGATTCCATAATAAAATAAACTCTTCRACTCAATACTGCTGCTGAAAGTTTTAAACTATAAACTAAACTGGAAAAGTCATAGAAGCAGTCAACAATGACACAGAGTCCACACWTTTATTGCGCGAATTCTTTCTCTCATTTCGCCTCAAAGTTTAACAACTTTTTTTTGCTTATATTACTATCGCGTGTCTTTGGGTACATTTATTAGCTTATAAGCTTTAAGCTAGAAGAAGGACCCTCATTCAAGCTAGATAACGTAATAAAGAAATAGCAAAAGCTAGGATACGCGAATAGAAATAAGTCTCGAGCCTGTGGTATGGTAAGATAATATTATTTATATAGYAAAACGTTTGCTCAGCTTTCTCAACGTTTCTTGTCTTATACAAGAAATATTTTCTCTGTGAGTGCCTTGGTGTGTTATGTTTATCACTAACAGAACGTCCAGCTGAATACATATTATAAACTTACATTTCAAGTTTAAAGTTTTTCCATAAAGTAACATAATACAGTTGATTGTCTTATTTGAAGAGGCAATTAATATAAACTAAAATAAATGTCTACTTGTAATTATATAAAAACCCATAAATGTTTTCATGTTTCTGTGCACTAAGACGTTGTCAGGGTTTTGGCTTCTATTTAATTGAAATAGTCGTTTGGGTTGCAGACATAAGAATGTCATAAAATCTAAAAAGTTCCAATCCAAAGTGGTTTCATATACAATGAGAATGAAGCAAAGTGGATTACTAGAAATTATCATTAAGCAACTTTACAAAGATAGCTTGCAGAATACACCCAATAAATAAATAATGTAAGATGCAATGGTTGTGAAGTAGACTTCCAGATATTATAGAGCAGTATTTTATGGCAGCATCAAGGTTTGAAAGTGCATTTGTAAGGATTTTATATGATGTGTAAAATAACAGCCTACAGTTCTGTAGCCAACCTTAGCATTCAGGATTTTAGCTAAAGATATTCAAGATATTCAGATCTATATGTTTAATATGGTTAATTTGTGCAAGTATTATCTTAATCAGAAAAAACAATGAGCAACAGGACTAGATATACAGGTTATTCAGTATTTATTGCAATTATTCACACGTTATTTCATCATTGGAGCAAGGCAGTGTATTATATATAGATTGAGTATTTTAATTCTTATATATACATATAACAATAATATTAGAGATAAGGAAATATATATTGATGACGTTAATTACGAGATTATGGCAATTTATTAAGTCAGTTACTTTTTACATAGGTCATCCTAAAAACTAGGTAAGGTTAAAACCGATTATTTGATAATTAACTAATATAATTACTCGATTGTCAGACTAATCACTCTTTGAAAATTGTATTAAATGAAAATTAGGTTTTATATTGGAAACTTCTAAAGAAATCCTGTATAAGATTCAGTGATAATTTYGCAAGCTTCAAATTCACACAACATGTACCAATTATACACACTAAGATTAAAAATATTCTTTTTTGAATGTACAAAGGTCTGACTGTGCATCTGCTGTRCTTCGTAAACAAACCCTAGATTATTACTAATAAACTAATATTAGTTTAATAATCTTAATAAAATCATGCTGATGATAGAGGTTTTAAAGTGTCTTCAAARGTTGGAATCTCCATATTACTAAGTACTTGAGTATAGTAATGTTCTTGTGGTTCCCCAATTGTGGGCGTGGTTGCCCTGGCGACAGGTGGTTGGGGGGTCGTAAATGGATACATTCCTTCCTGTGTGTTCCAGGAGTTCTGCATGTCTTGAGGCATAGGAGCATAGTTGTTATTTTCTAAGGATCCTATCATTCCCTCKGTACTTTTTCGAAGTGCTTCTAGCGTGTGCTGTTGCTTGATGTATTCATCAGGTACGCCTAGATCAACAAGGGGTCTTGTAACACCTTCTCCTAAGAGCTCTCTCTTTGAAGTCTTGGCTCCTCTAATTYTTTGCTTATTCTGAAAAAAAGAATGGAGCAGAAAGTTTTGAACAATTATTCAGCTTCMCTCAAAAACAGAAATTTATGCAAAACTCTACAACCAACTCAATGAGGGAAGGGAGTAAGGATGTTTTTAGAACTATGGATTTTTTTGAGCCTTTGTTTTTTTCCCATATATATGATCAATCAATTATTTTACTAAATTCTAATCTTCAATAATATTACTTCACAAATAATAAAGTATTAATATCTTTTGAAAGCATCTTCTTTTTCAATCTTAGTTTTTAAACCCAAAGTAAAAATGTTTATAGTACCTTTGGTCCATTATTATTAGGGACTTTGCCACTAGCATGTTGCTTGAAGTGCTTCCTCAAGGAGCTCGGGTCTGTATACCTCTTTGGACATCCAGGAACTTGACATGCATATGGTTTCTGAGGAAGATAATTTAACAGATCTGTCAGTTACAAATGGTTTGTTGTTTTTGTTGCCAAATAAATGTCTTCTTCTTAACCCTTCCTGACCCCTTCGCACCCCCCCCCCCCCCCCCCCCCCCCCCCCCCCCATTCCCCCTTCTTCAGAAAAAAATTATCCTCCAAAAAAATAACATTTAATTGGACGGTACACTTCTTTCCATCAAAAGTTGTACAGGTCTGAATAAACCTTTCCAAAATTGTTAGAGTTATCACAAAAAGATAAATCCAAGTTAAGGTGATGGATTTTATAAAATGTACAGTAAATGTACGAACACATGTAATCCATCTTCGACTTGAAGTCATTATTCATGGTCACTCACAGAATTCAGGAAAGGTCTATCTTGAAGAACAGCTTTTGAATACTTTAGTCCTCTATTTTCGAAGGCAATAAATTGTATAATTTATTTTTCATATGGATTACTATTGAAGACTAATGTAGATGGACAAGTAAATAACGGGTAACATTGAGTCATAAATAATGAAAATATGCATTATATTTGATTAGTTGGTTCAATAAATTCTGGGTTTCTTATTTTGTCATTTTAATGCCAACATAATGAGATTTATATTTTACRAGAAGGATGTTGTTAGTATTAAAGTCTGTAACAATAAATCCTGCCTTAATATATGGTGACAGAAGTTGACTAGAGATGTCAAAAATATTGATGAAGCTAATCAAAATTGAAGGGAGTTTGTCATTATAGTTCTAAACTATCTGGACATATTGACAGGTGCACTAGTTAATATAGCAGACCAATCAATCATGTTGAAGTCTGACATCGATCATTTGAAAAGAAATATGCTTTTCAAAAAAAGCCATTTGAATAAAGATAACTCCAAATTATGAAAAAATAACAGTAAAAATAGATTTTAACTGTTCTACTCTAACCATGAACACTCGAGTTTATCAACCAATCAGATTAAGAATCAAAAACAATAGCATTTGAGTTACACGTATTGAAAGCTATTCGAGGAGATGAAAGGATGAAAAGGAAAGAAAAAATAAAARTATATTTAAACAAATATAAGATTAATTTAAATAAACTTGAGGGTTCATGGTTATACATATAGTAGAACCACAGTAAAGTAGCTCAGTTGTGAATAGAAATTCCAAAAACAGAGTGCTGCATTCTGAATAACTGGTTTAAGCCTTATTAGTTTATAATAATAATTACTTATTAGATGATGTACAAATAATGGGAGTACTATTGGACCAATATTAAGCACATTAGATCATATATTTTAGTGAATTTTTGCACTATATAAGTAATAAAATTATTTTTTTTWAATTATTATCATTATGCTGCCCTGGCATCTGATTTTCAGCATAGAATAGCATTATTTATTATTGTAACAGACTTCAGTATCACAGGTAATGAACTATACAGTATTCTATGTGGCACACCATGACAAAACCGTTTCAGATTAATTATCTTGATCATGCCTCATATATATTATACTTCATGCATGAAAATCTATGAATAGTAAATTTAAGGTTTGATATTTTTATTGCTTTTAGTTGATTGATACTTAAATTTTTAATAACTACTCTATTTAAAAGTCTTATTTAACTATACTCTTTTTAAAACCCCAAAGGGACAAAAAAGAGCCTAACAAACTGTGCTTACACCAAAGCCTAGTTTACATTCAAACGTTATAATAAATACATATGTAATAATACTCAACTGACAGATTGTTTTAATGTTGCATTGATGATTGAATTTATTGAATTTTTWAAAAGTTACATGGAAATTTAGTAGCATTATAATGATATTCAATGTTTTCATACATTAAAGTATACAAAAAATAAGTTTTTCCTTCTGGCTTGTCACAACAAAACTTTTAAACGTGATGTTTARCTCCTATGGAAAAAATGGCTTTTGGTCCGAAACGAAAAACAGTTTCGTTGAGATTTTTCTTACCTTCTTATCATGAYATGATTTTTTGTCAAAAGTTCTTTTTGTTTTAGGTAGTTGTTAAATTATTAAGGACAGTTTTCATATGTAATTATTTRAGTGTTTTTGGGAGCTGTATAGTGACTGACTCAAAAACATGGACAATAAATTTGATATYCTCTTAGTCTAGAAACATAACCCAGGAAATGCATGTATTTGATGTCTGTTTTATCAATTAAGGCCGCACGCTACAACCACAATTGCTTTTTTGTTGTTTTCTTAGTAACAAAAGTATTCTAATTATTTGATAGCCAAGGGATTAGTAAGTAAAACAGACAAAACAATCTATAATCAGTATTCCYCTTTAAATGTACACATTTATAAAGAAAAAATGTACAGCTTTCAAATAAATTTTAAATTGAATTAAGAATTKCTAGAAAATATCTTGGTAATAGGAAAAAAGAAAATAAATAATTAAGAGGTTATTGAGACATTTCTATCTTTAAAATGAAATATTCCACAAAAGGAATTCGAAATAGTTGACATTAAGTACTGGTATGGATTAGAATAGATTCTTTGAAGTTTTGATGGATTTAAGATTAAAATGAAATAATCATTTCGCTTTTGAAAAAAATTGAAATAATAACTTCTTTCTTGGATATAATGATGATAAGGAGAGTAAAAATAGAACATATTAACTAACTATTGATATTTCTTATAAATATTAAGCGTAGAGATTTAYATAGTAATTTCTTATTTGCCCCACTAAGAATAGTGTTCAACATGGTCTACAGTATCGATTAATACATATCGTACTGTAATATACAGCAATAAATGATAATTATAATAATAATTAATGATGATGAGAAAGTTAAACTAAAAGTACCCATACATAATCATAGAAAATAATACATTATCATAACTCTTTTAAAACTCCAATACAGTCATTTAAAGAATATGATCACATATTWATGAATATGTTAAATCTGCCCATGATAGAGTAATAATATTCATAATAATAATCATAATCATAATAATAACATTTTAACGTTTYGAAGTCTTGTAGCAGGACACAAGTGCCATACTGATCGCATAGACCAATTGGGTGCATAACTCATGAAAGTAATAAAAAAATATGCATAACTTACKGTATCCAGGTGAGTGCGCTGGTGCTTTGCTCGATCCGACGAGTTTGAAAAGGCTTTYGGACATGCAGGAAACTGACAGATGTAGGGTTTTTCTCCAGTGTGTGATCGCATGTGTATTTTAAGATTCTCTAGTCTTGAGAATGCTTTATTACATCCTGGGTGCTGTAGAAAAAAATACAAAAAAAATCAATTTATACAATTTTTCAATGCATCATTCTTATTCACTTAGCATTAATAAACTCAATGACTGCAATTATTTTTTATATATTTTTCAAGTAGAAATCTAAGCACTTTTTTTACGTTTTCCACTTAGCATTGGGTTTATTGAGAGCCACAAAGTTTGAAATCCGATCCGAATTGATCAAGAAATTTTATGGAAACKAAAAAAAATTCTGTTTGTTTTACGAATTATTTAAAAAGCCTAGACATTTTGTGGTTAGATTCTTTGTACTCAGAAATAATATTAATTTTGCATCAGAAAACTGAAAGTTCAAACGTGTTTCGTAGTTAAAGTTAAGTGATCAAATGACCATTTGTGTTTGCAGATGGTTCTTTGTTTTCCTTCTAGGGGGAACTCAATTCAAATTATTTTTAAATAGATTTTATTTGAACACCGTCAGAATTATTTGTTTGAAATCGATAAAGTGTATCAACAACAAAAATAGAGCGTTATTGTTTTAGGATTATTTAAAATTCATATTGATGGAAGATTGCCATTTCTCTCACTCTTTCACTCTCTATCTACCCCACCCCCCACCCCCCCTTTTTTGTTTTTTGTTTTTGTTATTGTTTTTTATACTTTCTTGGCCTTCAACTAATTAACGTCAGCTTTCAAAAAAYAATTTTATTGACGCGTGGTTCCTTTCTCCTTTGTCCGTTTTTCTTTCTTTTGTTTCTGGTTGTTKTTTTTTTCGCCAAGAAAAAAGACACGAAAATTTTCTACAACAATGAGAAAACCCGCACTCCGTAAATGTAAAATTTTCTAAGTTCAATTTCGGATATCCTGTGTTCTTTATTTGTCAGATTATTCTAAACCAACCTATAAGTCCTTAAAACTTCCTGTAACACTCTTTTGAGTTCTTTAAAACCAGATAAAAGTTTCAAAATAGAATTTTTCCAAAAATTCACTTCCTATTTAATGAAAATTGTTGGAAAATAAAACATTGAACTTTCTAGATTTTGAAACAAAAATATATTCACAACTCTGTTTTTTTTTAGTGACGAAACATGGTTGATAAAAGTTCTTTCAAAAACAAGTATTTTACTCTTATTAGCCTTTTTTAAGCCAACACTTTGGCATTCAACTCAAATTCAACAATTACTTAACCTAACGATAAACGATATAAACGAGACCTATTCCTAAAGCAGTTCAAACTTGTGTCATCAAATTGCTAATATTTCCTTCCATCTTTGCTAGATTCTGTTTTTTTCTTCTTTAGTCTTGGATGATGTCGTGCCTCAATGTTGGTTTTTATTTTCTCTTTAAGCCACTCTTTTGTCTTGTTATTGAATGTTCTTAATCACGTAGTCCAGAAGGACTCCGCTCTTTTTGTTTCCTGCCTTTTCTTATTTTTAGCTTTTGCTTTCGTGATGTTTTGCTCGGGGTTTTTCATTTTAAATCTATCCCAATTTATGCGGTAATTAATGWCTAAAGTGGGCGACCAACACAAAACAATCTAATGCCCCATACAGCCGTATTTTTGTTCGCAAAACATGTTATCTAAGTTTTCTTTTTGTTCTGTTCTTTATAACACGGTCAGGTCCCTTGTCCCGCGCTTTTCTCGAAACGTATTGTAAAAAAAAAACTAGCAAAACTAGTTCTACTCAAAATTAATAAAATTCGAACTTGAAACTCGCGGATTTTCTTGGCTCAAGACAAGCCTACTTCAAGTCTCTTCGACACAGGTGCTCATGTCGAAATATTTGACGTTGTGCTAACTTCAGTACAAATATGTACAATAAATGTTGAAGGCTCGTGTCTAGAACGCTTTTTAATAGTAAATTAAAGCGAAACCAACCTCAAGTTACTTTTGTTCTGGTGTTTACCTTGCTTTTTGATTTAATTAATCTATGTARATGTCAAAAAATGGACAATTCGAAATGTCTGAGTCAAACATGCTAAGTCAACAGAAGAACAGACAGACCGCCGGCTCCTGTGGTTGCGTCGACCTGACCACTGACCATCAAACCAGAAGCATGTTTTTGTTTCGTTGATTATCTTGTCAGTGCTTTTGCTTTTCTCTTAATCCTTAAATTATTCTCTAGTTTGTCTAAATTAATTGACTTCTAGTGATGTTAGTGTCTACGAATCGTAAAAGTGAATTCCTCGCGTAGGGTAGAAACGCCGGCGTAATTTTTGACTCAACCTTGGCATTGCTTGTGTAATTTGAATYACTGGGGTTCGGAAAAGTAAGTTGAAACATCTCGTGAGTATAATAAAGGAAATGAAGTGGGCGAAAACATGCAAACTGAAATTCAAGAGAGGAAAAAATATAATGGGTTGGGGGGAATGAAACTTGCCTAGATTTTGGCCCAAAATTGGGCAAATGTTAAACGGAATGCGGCGATGTGAAACTAGATAAAACGGCTATTCCTTTAGTTAGATGGAAAAAGATATCAACGTATGGTTTTTAACTAATAGCTAATGCGGTAAAGAAGAAAGAAGAGGAGTAGAAAAAATGAACAAAGACGTCTTCCGGTTGAGTTTCATTTTCGGCATCAAACTTTTGCCGTGCACAATTGTTCCAAAACCGCAGCGCAAAAATAAACCCTTTCCTGCAACTTCTAGAAGTTCAAAACTTTTCTATTTGAGTAGTTTGTGTTGTGTTTCTCGTCTCGTACAGCGGACTAGTTTATATGAGGCCTTGATGATTATATCAACCCGAATTGTTCCAAATCCCATCACTTTTGGCTGGGGGCGATCTGAGCCTTGGCCTTAATAATACCCGTCGGTCTCCCGCTGACTCCTCAAACGAAAATGTCAATATCGCACGATTTTCTCACTTTGGAGCGGCTAAATTCGTAGGGAAAATGGACCTTTTACAGTACGAAAAATTGYAAAGGTCTGTCGTTTTGGGTGGGGTATACTCCAGTCTGTTCATTAGTTGATATGAGTGCGTGATGTGYCTAAAAAACCTTCCGTGATTCGCTTCTCTTTACGTTCTGTCGGGTCGACAATGATGTTTTCGCATTTGTTAGGGGCTGACCGCAAGCATACTAAATATGTCTTTCAATTCGGCCCTCAAATAATTTTTTCAGAGCGAAAGACAAAGGAATTATTGTGTCTTGGAGTGTTAGTCGTACTATGTCCCATAGAGTTATGATTCACAACTGCGCTCACGAAAACGCGACCAATATTTAACATTCCTAGAACATATAGTTAGTTAGTTACGATCCAGAATTAMCTATATAAATTGAATGGATATTTGTTGGAGTTCTAAGCTTTCAGACGTGAAACAAAATAAATATGGATTGTAATACACGTTGTGTTTGAAGACGTTGTTTGAGAATCAATGCTGTGTTGTTTGTTGATGTGTACAGAGCACTTGGACAGGCTAACTATTTACTTCGAAATTGACCATGAACGAATGGAAACGTTCGGGGATTTTGTAGAAAAATAAGTAGGTAATTTGTTTGAATAATGTCGTAAAATTATAACTCTAGAAGGAGAAACTGCTATTGAAGTCTGGCTTGACATAATTCAAGGTGAAGTTCAATAGCAAAGCAAACACGGAATCAGAAAAAATGTATTTAGTTCTTTAGGCAAACTTGTATGTAAGGTACGATGTATGGACTTAACTTACCGTACACTTATTTGGCTTCTCGCCTGAATGTACTCGCATATGAATAACCAGCTTGTAGCGAGCGTTAAAGGGCTTGGTTTGACGAGAACAGTTCTCCCAATAACATATGTATAAATCATCAGCCTTCCTTTGATCGATGTGGACTTTCTCGATGTGTCGAACCAAGTCATCTTGCTCCGAGTAAATAGCTTCGCATCCTATCCACTTACAAGAGCACAGTCCATCTTCAGATTCCACACAACTTGACCTTTTCGAACTTGAGGTATTACCTCGTTTTTCCTTCTTATTTTCAGTGAGGTTTGGCCATTTATCATCGAATTCCGTCCTCTTTTCCCCGCTATCAGTTGGCGAAAGGATTTTCCCAAATCTTGAGAGTGTTTTCTTCAGAATCTCCTCAGATCTTGACTTAACGGGCGCGAAAAAGCGTGCTGATTTTGTTTGTGGGTCAGTGTTGAAGACAGTAACGTTGGGAATAATCCCAGATTTGTCCTTGCTCAATGCTTGGTATTGATCGAACGAGCAGGATTTAATAAAAGCGTTGCTTTCGTGGTCGTTGTAGGGATAACACTCAGGTGACTGTATTATTCGTTCGGGGTCTTGCTCTGGATATACTTCGTAAGATCTCCGTCTTTCTTGGTGTCTAGCAATGTGTCTAGACTGCAAGTCAGTCAGAGTGGAGCCAGGAACAGGATATCCAGCAACGCTTCGACTTTTGCAGAGCGAATCGCTCAAATAAGGAGGCTGATAATGTTCTTTTCGATACTCGAAAGGCTGACGTTCTGTCTCGATTAGCGAATTCCGTAAGTTTGGCGAGTTTGGAAAAGTAAAAGTCCTGTCTTGTTGATCTATACGAGGTAGTCCATTGCGTGAGTGGTTCGCAGACCGCGTGTCACCACTATCAACTAATTCGCTTGTAAAGCTTGCCTTCTCGGCTAACTGTGCTAGTCCTGCGATAGGATCTGTCCTGGCATTTGGTGGACACTTTTGCATGGTTGCTTGAATGTAACAATTAGTTTCACCCTGTGTAAAAGGACTAACGCACTGGTTGTCATTCATGTTGATTTGTTGGCCACTTTGCGTGTTACAGCTCGAAAAATTAACACCATTCGGTGAGGAGATTCCAGCGTTGCCATTATGTTCCATGTAGTTGTAATCAAACCCTGTCTTGTTTGGGTTCACGTTTCCAGAATACACTTGTTGGTTCAGCCCTGCTCTCGCCTCAAAGTTGTTGTATTTCAGTGGCGGGTAGTACACCAGTTCGTCGTCCTCCCTCATATGATGATTGCCTTGTTCCCGCGCCAGTGCCTCGGTCCGCGCCAATGATGTAACGTGTTGTCCTACAGCATACATGGTCAATGCTCACTATTGGATAGATTGTTACTTGCCGGCGGATATCAACCACCAATCACATCTTTCCTTCTTGTTTTCTTCTTTTAACAAAAGCGCTGGCCAAGTTTGTCTTTGCCTTTAGTTGACTCTCTAGCAGATATCCAAATTTTTCGCCAACTTCTCTGGAAGTCAAGTTGCGCAACACGATCCACCTAAAATATAAACAGAGGATTTTTTCAACTTGGAACCAGGGACCAAACCTACTTCGACATTGAAATATTACGAAGGCGAATTTTCTTTTGGTCTCTCTAATCATGAAATACAAATTATAAGAACTTGCCACTGTGAAAGGGTTAAAACAATAGTTTTCTCCTTCATGTGCATTTAATATCGTGAGTGTACCACCCCCTTGGGCCTCTGGAGTTAACTCTGGGTTTGATTGACAGGTGGACTTTATTGTTGTCTTGGTGACTAATTAGATTTCATTTACGTATGAATTAGCAGCCAATCAGCAACGCTGTGCTAGTCTGGGAGGGTTAGGATTCGAATAGCAGAGGCCCTACTTTAGATAAATCAGGTCTCTCGTCACTCACTACACTATGACAGACCCAACATGTTTGAAAATACCCCGAAAATACCCCAGAAATATGTGGCTTTATCGCCATCTTTAAACTCGATACGTTTATAGTAGAAGATAAACTGACTTTACGCTACATCTTCAAGATTGGATTTTTTAACTTGACATTGTCGTGACAGGCCCGAACAAAGACTTCTAACATGTCATATCCGGTAGTGTTTATTTGTGTGTCGAATTCAAGCCTCAGGGTTCATTAACTAAGGACTGCTAACTGAACGCTTGACTAACTTTTGAATGACTTACTCCGATCCCTCGTGTCTTGTGTTGTCTTCCGATCAAGGCGCTTAAACCGATCGCTTTCTAGTGAATTTAATAAACACCCTATAAACGTTTGTCACTTCCATTAATTTCCAAATAAATACAAGTTAGTTWTGCCGTGGCTAAATGATCAGCACTGCATAATTTAGAAGGCGTTTAATACTCGTGGTATTTTATAAATCGTATATTAATATCGTACTCGCTAAATCTTCTGGTTAATAGATTAACACAGTGCAGTTGAAGATCGGTTTTAGTAAATGCGTCCGCTGCCGATTCTCGAATACTTCCTTTGTTCGGATTCTTGTCGGCGAACATTCATATCCGGACTTCAGTCCTTATCAGCCTGCTTCCACAATGAATTCCATATTATTAGAAGCTCGTTTACTCAAGCATCGGATTTTTCCGTATGCAAACAAACCTATTCAGATGGCCATTGGGCAAATCACGTATTTTTGCTTTGCCATCCTTGGATATTTCAGAGACGGATTCGTGGTCTTTGTCATTGTTTTTGTCCAAGAAAACATCGTCCCCCTAGGAGCTTCATTGCTAAAAGGGGTAGTTATTCAATGCTTGATTGTTCAATATTACCTCATAACATGATCACCCCCATATACCGCCAACATCTCTAAATSAAGCCTGAATTCCTCAAAACTTCTCAACCAAACTTCCCTCACTCACCTGATTTGATATCAAAGTGTTACCTAGTAGTTACCAGTGCTGATTTCAAGTCTTTCTGAGTTCAAACTTGGCGAATTCAGTCCCGTTGAGTTTGCTCCAAAACACAGACTGCGTGTCGCTGGCTGTCGGCGCCGAGTGTTTTCTAAATGAGAACGAGGCGCGGCTTTAAGTGACAGTTGAGAACGATATTTGACGCATTCCTTAGAACCTAGGAATTCGATCTGTTCAATTTGTGCACAGAGTTTTTCAAATCATATCAAATCATTCGGCACGGCGCAGACAGGCCTAACTGACCTGTCGACATTGCAATGTGAGGGACAAGATTCCCATGGTCTTCCCTATTAAACAAAATAGATTTTGAAAGGATTTATTATTCATTTGAGTAATTATTTTCGAACACGTGACCGATAAGCCATTTCAGTGTTTAAATCGATTTCATAAGACTTTCAGTCATCGACCTTTTGCAAAGCTGACCATATGATATCCAGACCTTTCACCAACATGTAAACTGTCGTTGTTTGTCTTCAAATAAATAGTACGGCCAGACTGACTCGAGTTCAAAATACTAACATWTTTCCGGGGAAATGGTGATGAGAATTCAATAAAAGCGACAGAAAAAATTCCACCAAAGTTCTGCGTTGTAGCGATAATACCGAAGAAGAGTCTGCCGGGACTCGTTCTAACCACAAAACATTTTACATTCTACAGCCACTTCCTGAAMTTGTTGTTCTTATCAAACGTAAACGTCTAAAAATTTCCCCAAAAATCCAGCCGTTTCAAGTTGTATAATTTTAATATATTTTACGGAATGAGATTCTAGTGGCTGACCAATATCGAGCGGATCGTTTAAGCCAATGAGAGTATGTATAGCAAGTATACTGGCTTTCTTGAGTCAACTAACGATATTGAGTCTTGATATTTCTAATGGAAAGGAAATGATTTACAAAATTTGCCTTTATGTAATCTAATGGTCAATTGATCGGTGTTCATCTACAGTGCTCTTGAAGAATAGGAAGTGGTTAAAGTTCTTCGCTAGCAAGTGAAGAAATAATTTTCTTAATTTCGATTTTAATTTGACTATCTTGGTCTTTAATTAAWTTCCACCAGAGCTGAGATTTTTATTCATTGTTCGCGTAGACCCAGTTTGTGGTCAGCGACCTTGACATTGAAATCAAGAACCTTCAATCCAAACCGGCGACATTTTGGTCGTAAAAGGAAAGTAAGCTTCCGTCGCCTCATCACTGCAAATGCCTCAAGATCACGAGAATCACTAGCTCTCGACTTGAAGGGCATTTTACACCTCAAATTGGTCTTAATAACGTCAAATGAGGTTGTAAATCCAATGTGCTCTTTCGGCTTGTACCTATTCCCTTAGGCCTTCGAGTATTGCCGCACGATGATTCTTTTAGCTCCGTATGTGGTATATTTTAGTCCCTCAGGCGGTTTTGAGGTTCCCAGGTGCGAGCTCCTGAACTGGCTCGCTTACTATCCCTCCAGAAACCATCTTSTTCAAAGTTAGAGAGGTTTGATTACACTTAACTCACAAGACAACTGCCTATCTATTCATCTGGCCATGTAATTCTAACCTTCCTTAAATCGAACTGGTTCATAATCGGTTCTAGTGCATTCTAGTGTTTAACTGGCTTTTCTTTGCTAATTCTATGCTTTTCAAGTACCCATGAAACACTGAAAATAACTCTCCTTTTATTCCGAACAATGAACATAAGAATACGGTTCAATAGGGCTAAGCTAATTAACCAAGATCTATTTAAGTATCTGTCAGTCAATCTCTGGCCTCAGTCAAAATGAAACAACATACCGAACAGGTTTTTACATTTACAGATCAGTGAAGACATGACAAGCTCGACCTCTGTAACCTCCAACACCAAAAAATATATTGGCTTTCAGATAAGGATAGCTAACTTTGTACAATTCCTAAGTCAGGTCTCTCTTGCAAGAGTAAATTGAAATGCATTAAAAGGAGAAAAGAATTAGTTGTTATTATGATAAAATGTCATATGATTATCGAGTGATGTCTTTATTCAGAGTTGGTTTATTATGACTTACGACTTTTTCAATCTTCTGTTCGGTAATAGTAAAATGCAATAAGTTTCAGAGAAAAGAATTAGGTATGATAAAATGTTATATCTCCTTAATTTAGTCATAGAGTATTATAAACTTCAGACTTTTTAATCATCAACTTGAAACGGAATCTTGACTTCTAACTACCCCCAGCTTGTAGACCAAGTCAACGTCCAACCCCACTAGACCATCCCAGTCTGTACTTCATAACAGACAGAACAACACTAAAAGAATGGCAGGGTGGRTATCGAAGATTATCGCTTATTTGACAAAACGAGTCCTCGGCTAGATCTCACGGGTCGCCATTTAATGGCTAGTAAATTTGGAGGATTGGTTGGAACATAAAGTGGCTATGAATTTGATGAGGCAATTCCTTTTTGTTTTAGAAAAAAAATTAGCAAACTACAATGGGACGAAAGCACGAGGATTACCAGGAAAACAACYGTTACTTAACGTATCATCGTTGAAGATTACATCACTTTTCATTTTACTGCTTAGTAGAGATTAGTAAATACCTCTCAGTGCTTGATAAACCAATTTACAAATGATCTTGTAAAATTTTTTGTTAAGGAAATTAACTCTCTCGGGGAGCCTGGCTCAATGGCCCATTTCGAGAGACGGATAGTTTGCGTTGGAAAAACGTTGAACTATTAGAAATATTTAATAAAAAGTCTATTAAACAGATAATGACAGTTATGAGGAAAAAAACCAATACTACTGAGAAAGAGAAATCTGGACAGTCGTATCAAAAAAATGTTTTTGTAACTTCATAAAGTATGGTACTGATGAGTTTTTCATCTGTTCTTCCTGTGCAAATCATTGGTTTTAATGGAACTCAATCCTCTAACTAGAATAATTGGTTAATAAGAGCCAAGGGGCTACATCATCTGGTTTACACATATTTCTTTACTGARAACATCGTTGTGGGGACTCAGGAGTGGTTTAGTCACAGATTGTCCGAATGTTTAGTGAGTGACATGGATGGATTGAAGCATTTCAACGAGTGACATGAAGTTAATTTGTCTGCACGCTGGAGCTACGAGTTGTAATTCCCTACTTATCGAGAACTTGTCTGGCACAGATAACAGACAACGTTTCGATTGTATTAGTCCTCCAAGGCTTGGCCTGGAGTATCCGTTTAGTGTGAGATACTTTATCGTTTCCCATGAAGATTACATTTCATTCAATGGAAGAGATGACTGCATTTTTACAGCCTTACGAACAATGAGTCGGGCTTTGGAGAGCCTTTTCGGTTCTTCAGTTCAAATCCTTGAACCTTTGGAGACACTCACTTCTTAATTGTGGCATTGAGGTGGTTTGCTTACTAGATGAACTTTAAAACAATCAAGAGTGCCTTGACAATGTTTTTCGTGCCAATAAAACACTTCTATTTTTAACCTTTTCATTAAAAATTGCTTTCGAACCCTTTGCTTATCGCTAGTGACCCTGCTCGCTTCATTTTAGAACTAGTTACACTGATATCGTATAGAGAGAAAATCAAGCAAGGCACCGTCCATTTTTTACTGGGGAGGGGTGAGTGGTGGGATTTGAAGGGGGGTCATTAAAAACATCAGGTTCAAAAGAAGGGGCCACAAAAAATAATCAGAGTCGCACAGTACTAACAATAAGCAGCATGTAAAACACTAGAGGGGTCATTTTCTATGCGAGAAGGGAGAGGGGGTCAGATTCTTGGTATCCCGCCCCCCCCCTCCCCTCCCACAATAAAAAATGAACGGTCCTCAGCTGGTACGACTATTTGCAATTATTCTCAGACAGACAGCCTTGACATAATCCCCTTCAAACCATCACTTTACTAACCCTAACAATTTCCTAGCCAAGATCAACATGAGAGGCATGCACTACACGGATACTTAAAACACTAAAATTGAAAATACTGTGTTATCGGCGTGGGCTCCCTTTGTTATGGTTACCAAAAAAACATCGAAGTGTCCTAGAAACGATTATTTTTCAACGTTTTTACGGCGTAATACTTTGTMGGTATTATTGTCAATATAAACAAGCGGGTTCTATTATTGAAATTCAACAAAGTTTCTTTGTTACCCGCCTACTGCGGTTTACGTTCCTCTTTTAGTTTGAAAAATATCTCTTTCTTCATATCAATATCAAAGGAATAAAAAAAATGCTTTGTGAGTTATATATAGTGTCAAGGGTTCCTAACCCTATTGCTTATAGTCCCTTTGACAGTTCCCTGCGCCATCTTGAAAGGTAACTTGTCTGTGTATCTAAACGAGAACGACGCACTTCTCTAGGACTTTCTCAGTTGGTGTAGCAAGCTGTATCGTAYTTTGAGTTAGGRTTTTTGTTTTGCAGGATATTKTTTAGCTCRAAATTCATTATCCTTGTCTATWGTTTTATTGTCTTCATGGCTCAGGTGCTTTGCAAAACCAAGAAAGAGCCCTCTATTTGTTATTAACACCGAAACAAACATTTTGGGTATGCTATCTCTCTCTCTGTCTCTATCTCTCTGTCCTCTTAAAACGTAAAACTTTAAAGTTAATTTCTTAATAAATGGTAAACATTTTTTGTCTGAAAAGTCAAGGAAGTGGAACTTCTCCTTTTGCTAAAAAAAGAGAGTGAGTCGCTCACGATCCCACTAGTACACATCACTAAAAGTAAAAATTAAACCAAACTTGTAATTCATAAGCGATCAATTCAAAAGTGATTTCCCCAGATGAGCTCGCATGAGAGCTCTTGGAGACAACTCATAAAAACTATATGTTTAAATTACAAAATAACAAATAAAGAATTCAAAAGCGATACGTGCCAATATTGTGATATTTTGGTCCTAAATTGTAACATAAAACGAAGTTTAAAATAATTCAATTAAATTCTAAGGAGCTAGTTTTGTGTTTTGTTTTTCCAGTCATTTGTTTTGACTTGTGCGTTTGGAACACCCTTGATTTTTGGAAAAGATAGCCTAGCTATATTTGCTTTAGTGTTTTAGTGCTCTCTGTGTTACAGTACAGAATTGAATGTTCAAAATCTAAACCTAGAATTTTGCAGCTTTAGATTTTATTTTTGTTTCAGTTCGTTTGATGTTCTTGGCCGCATTTTAGGATTAAAATATAATAGTGGTGTATCAGTACGTGCTCAGGCTTGAAGACTTTTTA